GTTTCTGAAGTGATAATGCTGCTGAGGGTGTGGAGGAGAGGCCACACACTTTGCAAGTAAGACTGTACACTTTTACTATGGAAGCTAATTTAAATATACTAATCAAAAAGGAACATATAGCATCTATGAAATAATTTTACAGATAGCTCAAAAGGATGCTTAATACATTGATTTATAGTAGTGATTTTTAAGAAATAGTCTAAATTCAACAGTAGAATTTAATGGATATGAAACATCCTCTCCGTGGATCACCATTGAAAAAATTATTCAGCCATTTCCATTTAGAAGAGCTTCCTCTTCCTTGTTGAGTCATCACCTAAGTCACATCCTCCTGATTCCTAAAAAACTTTCTATCCTCCCAGTTTCTATGAAGCTCTAGTTAGTAGTGCTATTAACAGGCTGTAACTAAGAGAAATTAGCTCATTGCCAAGGGACAGAAGAGATGGAGACTTTCTAAGAGTGCTGTGCTGATGACATGTATTTGAATATTTTATGATATGCACTATATTGTGAAAAATGGCTTGCTCAGATGATGGGACTTAAAAGGGGTCTTTCACATTCCCTGAATTATTTTAATATTTTACAAAGTTCTATAAGGGGAAGGACCTATTTTTGAAATAAAGGATAAATTGCTTGTTTGTTCAATGCAAATACCTTACAACTAGAGCATGTGGAACATTAATTTGTATTATTAATAAAGCAGTAGCAAAATAATAATATAGCTACACATCAACATCCAGAATCACTGTGTGCTCCCAAAGAGTATTACCTCAGAGACTCATCCACTATTGATTATGTCACAGGTACTTCTTGACCTACAAGGCAACCTTGAATTAATCATATACTGCAGAAAACCCAATATTTTAATTATTTTTTGTTTCTTGTTAGGTACTTACACATAATGGCAAAGAATTGTTCTGATATGGAAATTTCCATTTCTACAACTTGAAGCATGTCAACATCACATGGATAAACACTAACACCAGAAACTTAGAAAAATCCAACTCAATTAGTCCCTAAGCAGTGAATTGAATGGTTTAGTAGTCACCCCAGGGAGACACAGGTTTGCTTAATGACTAGCTAGAGTTAACTTTACCTCAATCACCAGTTTGTAATTAGAATAAATATATAACATGCTAAATAGAGCTGTAATTTGAGTGAAACCAAGACTGCTCTTAAAAAAAAAAATAGACTTGACGTTACTCTGGATCTAATCAAATCATTAGATGATTCCATGCAGCTGAAATGGTAAATAAACTATCAAGAATGGGTACCTTCTTGAAGTGGCTTCAAGTAAGTAATGCTTGGGAATAGAGAATTTTATTTTACTCAGGAGATGTAATAAGCTCTAATTTATCGTTGGTACAACGTTGGTGGAGTATTACCAAACCAGAGATGGCTTTGAGCCTACTTCATTAAACAAGCTGCCCCTTTAGTCTGCTAATTGGGAAAACTGGACATTCAAAATGCCCCAAAGAACTAGGCATACAAGCGGGTTGTAAGAAGGATGAGTTCATTGCTTCCAATAAGGCTAGCATGATTTACAATTCTGTCTTTGTGCTTTACAGTTGCCATAGCAGTGAAAGATTCATACTCAACAGATTATTTCCATTTCAATGACTGTTGAAATTAGCAGTTTTGCTAATTTGAAGCCATGGCAATTAAATTTACTATCAACAATAGTGCTGCAATCTATAATGTCATTAAAACTTTCTGTGCATGATAACTACAGTGGCAGCATGCCTGGGAATAAAAAATGAGACACTATGAAGAGTGAGCTTTGTGTTTCCATTGACATAAGGCCCAGCTTCAGTCACAGTTGCTGGTGGAAGGAATAATATAAAAAATGAAGAACTCTGGCCTAGTTTGTCTCTCTGGCATCAGGTTTTCTTAATTCATTTTTTTCCCTTTCTTCCTTGGATTTATCAGAATACCAGGAACAGGATGTGCATGTACTGGTACCCAGTACATGCCTACCAATGGTGTGTGGAGGTGCCATCAGCACTAGCAGATCTTTTGTTTCTGTCATCTTCAGGAATATTGATCTTGGTTCCTGGTTGAGACAATAGATATGTGAAGTAGAAAACTGAGCAGTGTGATTCTCCAGTGAACCTGAAACCATTGCCATGGAAAGTTTTGTGCATTCAAATTAAGTCTTTGGCACAAACGATGACCTTAATTTGGCCATTTGAAAATGACCAAAGAAATATATGGTCTTCTTAAAAGATCTTGACATTTTATTTGACCTTCTTGTGGTCCCAGATAGAGTGAGACTCCCAGGCATGTGAACCACAGATATTTCTCAAATAACTATAGCCTTTGCTCAAGTTCAAAATAGAAAAGCCTTACCTTGAAATCCAAGCAACTTCCTTGTTTTAGTCCAGTAGAGTTATGTGGGTCATGTGGTACAAGCAGTAGATACTTGCCCGTAATGGCTCAACTCAAAGTCCCCTAAGTCTTGTCTCTTTTAACATTCTCCTAATATGCCAGGCCAGAGAACTGTTTCTTCAGAAGATCTGAGCGAACATCACCCTCACCTGACCTTAACAGGTAACTAATGATATTAGGAGCTATACGGCATATTGTTTGCTCAACTAGACTATAAATTCATTCAATTAAAGGCCATGTTCATATTTCTTTGAATCTCCCAGACCACAATATAATTCCCTAAATATATTAGGGAATCTATAAATTCTTGTTGGATAGGAAAGAATGTTTTATAGTCCATTTTCTCATCTTCAGCACATTCATAGCTTTTACAAAATATCAGGACAGCTTTTGAATAAATAAATAAATGAAATAACACAATGCTATCCTAGGACATTATTAAATAAGAAGTATGTGTAAGACAAAATTAGCAGGAAGTAAAATAGAAAATGAGTACTGCTTGGGAAATGTAAGAAACAAGATTTAAATCCTCCTCCCCAAATCAATTATCTAAAGATGGTGCAGATGTTGTATTACCTCTGGTCTCCAGAATTATTCTACATAAAATAGAGATTAGTACAAATGACTTCCAATTTCAAGGACGTCAGAAGAGAAAAAGGCAATGAATAGAGCATGGGTTAAGTTGTATTCCTGACTGGATCTTTAAGAGTTCCTCAAAGTGCCCATCCAGTTAAAAAAAAAAAAAGAATAATCTAAAAAAAAATAGAACATTTTAAGACTTTTAAGATGCACTGCTGTAGTTACTTAGATATTATATTTAGAATTTCTCACATCTGTATTCCCAAGTGAAACTGATCTGTAATTTTCTCTTCTTACCCTACCTGGTTTTTCAAATCATCCTCATGAAGTGAGTTAAACCTAATGTTTATCTTTTTCTAATTTCTTAAACTCATTGACGTTTCTAAGTCACTTCCAGATAAGGCACTTATTAATTTCTCAACTATCCCTTTTCTGTGAATCTCTCTAGTCATGTCACACACACTGGTGTTGTCTGGAACTTTAGTTTTGGACAATTATGTTTTCTTTACTTTTTATTTATTTAAACAAGAATGAAAATTTCTAATTTACTTACCTTTGCTTCACATTACATGAACATTTTCCTGGAAACACACTTTTCTTTCTGGAATATTTAATCCAATTGTGTTTTTGAAAAGGGTCTTTGTTAATATTTTTGCTTCATTTTTGTCCTTTAGCACCTTGAAAATATTACCTTAAACTAACTGTTGAGAAGTCCATTGTCAATCTGATTCTTTCTTCTTTATGCAATACATTTTTTCTCTTTAAAATGTTAAGAATTTTTCACTTGGTGCATTTTCAGTGGTAATTACATTTCATTTTTTAAATGAAATTTAAAAAATGTATTATATAGGTTATATATTATGTAGCATTATATATAGGTTTCAGGTATACATGTTATAACTCAGTGTCTGTATATAAAACACTATGCTCACCTCTAAAATTCTAATTTTATTGTTCACTATTGATGTTTTTTATCCTATTCTCTTCCTTTCTGATAACCACTAATTTGGTTTTACAGTTTAAACATTTATTTCTGCCTTATTTGGTGCATTTGTTTTGTCTTCTACATAACAAGTGAAACCATCAGGTGTTTGTCTTTCTGTCTAAGCATACTAACCTCCAGGTTCTCCAGCCCAGGTTTATCAGATCTTCCAGTAGTTTGTCATGAGCTGATTTTCCTTGAGATTAGCTGCTACATGACTGCAAAAGCACAGTGGGGAAAGCATCTCAGGCCTTAACTTGGATGGCTTCTGATGAGTCTGGGGACCTGGACTCTACTGAGGCAGATTCCAAATTAGACTCATTCTCTACTTGTCACTGCTTCTCTCAGTTCAGGCTACTCCAGGGAAACCTCCGCCTGTGAATTTTTCAGCAGCTTCATCTCCAGACTGTAATCACGAAGGAATGAAGAAGTGGGAGCCTAAGTGGGTGGGGGGTTGGGGGGGCGTGGGGGTGGGAGACGGCCAAGTGCTGGCAAATCTACCAGCATTCTTTTTACCTGTCCCGCACTCTGGCTGGTCCCAGTGTCTCCTGAGATTTGGCGGGTTACTTCCTTCTGTATCTCAGCTGATTATAATGTTTTCTATTCATTCCTTGAAATATTTATCATCCCATCCCATTCAATAAAGCATCAATCCATTAGATAGTAGCTGAACATCTATAGAGAGCTTCTTAAAAATGTGGGGTCTGACCTGTTCATTCCTTAGCTCCCCTCAGAGTCCAGAATAATAAGCACAAATTAGCTGCTCAAAAATAAAGGTGGGTCAAAGACTTTGTTCTTGAGCTCACAGCTTTGGGCTCTGAGTGGACAAACTCTTCCAAACCTTTCTATGAATCCAATTGTATTAGTATAATACATTAGTAAAGAATCCAGTTACCAAGATAAACAATACAGCCTTGGAAGACCTTCTTCAAAGCTAACCTGTGTCTACATTACAGCTGAGGCTTAATTCCACTGCCTGGTCTTACAAACAAAGCAGAGCCCAGCCCTGCCGGCCAAGTCTTGACCACAGTGAATGAAGGTGACACTTGGAAGACACAAGACTAATTTGTTTATTCGGTGTGTTCGATACGTTGAGGAGGGAACTTTTTGGCAAATAAATAAATAAATAATCAGACAAACGGAGACTTTTAGGCCAGGAGCTCAGGAAGAGGAAGGAAGCGGAGTCTTTGCATAGTTCTAAGGAACCGAAGGTGGCAGCAGTAGGCAACGCGGATTCTCAGCAGAAATGCAGCACTCGCAAAAACCAGGGACAGGAGGCATCGAGAAAGAGAAGGTCAGAAGGTGACTAACTATTTCTTTATCATAGAGACTGTGGTGTGGAACATTCATCCTCTCTACTGGGGGCCAGGAGGTGGCGTTTCACATGATCTGCCTGGGCATCCCATACCCAGTCATGCCTGCCTGGGAGGCACCCTTGTTACTGCCCATCTGCAGACCTATAACGTTCTGTCCCTGGCGAAGCTGCTCCTCTGAAAATCCTCTCCGATTCTGCTGTGCTTTCCTGAGAAGAGGGAGTGAATTAAAATAGTATCATTCTGACCACACTCAACATTTCCCATGAGATGCAGACAGATTCTACTGGGAGCACCTAGTGGGAGATTGGGCCCTCCCACAGACTGGGCTCCTCCCCAGAGCTACAAGCTTACCATGAACTGGGTCCTACTTTGAGGTAATGCCCCACTCTGAACTGTGTTTTCACCCTGAGTTATAGGCCTACCATAAGTTTGGTCCTACTATGGCCTATAGACACACCCTAAGCTGTGATCTTACTATGAGCTCTGGGTATGTGGGTATGTGTCCCTACCTGAGCTGCAGTTCCACTACGAGGTATCATCCTATTCTGAGCTGTGGCCACACCCTGAGCTGTGACTCTACCCTGAGAGATGACTCTGCCCATGAGACATGAACTCTTTACACCATAGAACACCCCAGAGAGCCTTCTAGAATTTCAGCAATCAGTAGCAGCTTTCTCAGGGGATTTCACTCCCAGAGTTTCCTTCTCATTCTTTTTCCCACAGTTACCTGAATCCCTTGTGAAAATTAAAATCAAAGCATGTCATCAATCCCAACCTACCCTTCCCAGTACAGACCCACGACTATGTTCCATTTTAGAATTGAAGGGCCCGTGAGTTAAGGAGAGGAAATGTGTTACTCTAGGTCAGAAGTCAGCAAACTCCAGTAAGGAACCACATAGTAAATAATCTTTGGGTCAAAGAGATCACAGTTGGTCATGAATAAAGTTAAAACTGGGGTTTCAAGTATCTAGGATATTTTCAGACCAGGTCCACTTAAAATGAGACCAGCTGGTACCTTTTTATAACTGTCAAGAAGAAGAATAGGGAATTAGAGAAACTAATCATTAATTATCTACCACAAGGTTACTCTTTTCATCTCCCGCTGAGCTACTGGGTGGAACTCAAGCTCCCTGGCTATTACTCCACCTTTCCCCAAGAAAAATAACCAAAAGCAAATCACTTAAAGAAAAGACCATTTACTGACATGCCCATTTAATTTAAATGGAGGTCAGGCTACTTCTGAGAGGAAAAAAGAGAGCTTAATAAGCAAATCAGAACATTTTTCAAGCATTAAGTATAAAAATAAGTAAATTAGTAAAAAGTTAGTTGATTCAGGCTAGTTGATGCATAAGAAACCCAAATTCAGATATCACGCCAGTGCTGAGAAAAGCTACCGATCCAGTTGGGTCTCAAGAGAAACACCATGGACAAAGGCAGAACAGGCAGAGCCCAGATGGCCATGGGTCTGCCCAGAAGCATCAGTCTTTCCTTGCTCTGGAGCACTTGAGCTAGGGGCCAGGCTTGCTTGCTCCGAGGGGCACTGAGTGGCAAATACCTCTGAGGAGCTAGGGGGCTTTCGACCCACCCTCTTGTTACAATCACCCTCAGCACCTTGGGGCCCAGAAAGAAGATTTTTTACCTGTGAAACCAGGACGGCTCTCCCCGGTAGCAGCCGTCATCCTTGGTGACGGCCACGCTGCCCAGAGCCATCAGGGTTCTCTGCACTGCAGCCATGTCCTTCCCTGGAAGCCAAAGAGGAGATCAAAGCTAAGCTGAGTCAGCACTAAGCTGTCTGGAAGGAGGAGACTGGCCTCCGGGTAGGTTGCTCTGATAGGAAACTGCAGAGAGCACCTTCAAGTCGGGGGTACAGCAAACACTTCTCAAAGCTGCCTAACTTCTTGGCAAGAAACAAACAATCACCTGGCTAGTCACTGCTGTTACATACCACTGACACTCGATTTCTCACTCTCTCCTTGCTGTATGTATAAAACTTTCTAAACACAGCAGCTCAGACATAGGTATTTCCCTGCTCTGAGCAGAGGCCTCTGTCTGGAAGGTTCTATAAGCTATGGTGAGGGGGCTCCTGTGGTCTGGCTGGTGCAGTGAACTTTCGTAGACTTTCCTCAAGACTGGAAAGGAAATACAAACTGGAGAAAAACTGGTTGGATGGATTAACTATGTCAAACTTATATTGACCTGGGTTAAAAGGGTCTACAATCAACCATGTGCATGCATTGAGTACTCACTTGGCTATCTGGGTTGAAGGCCTGGCAAATGAAGAAAAGCGAACCAAAACAGAAAGCACTCAAAATGAAACATGATAGGCCCTTTATGTAGTGCAGCTTGAAAGGCGATAAATGGAGGCAATCAGTAACTGGCATATGTGAGTAGCGGAGGGGCGGGGAAGGATTTAGCCCTAGGATTTAGTGCATGCAAAGCACTAGCACGGAGCGCAAAAGCTAAAGGCACAATGTCACAAAGCAAGGCAGGACTCAGCCTACAGGAGACTGTGAAAGTCAAGGGTAAACCTTAAAAGGCCTCTTTAAACCAAGGGTTCCATCTGTGGTTTCTGCAGCCTGGCTGCTATACTCAGTCCCTGGAGGCTACGGAACTACAGGGGAAGGTTGATGGAAAGTGAGAATGGACTCTGACTCTAATAAGCAATTCAGGCCCACAGAGGATGTCCATTTATTCAGAGGAGAGACGGTAGGCCCTCTTCCCTCACCTCTCTCTTCTGCCCTGCCTCCCATATTAACCACAGAGTCATTTCATGGATTCTGAGTGAACACGGGTTGGTGAATGGGTTGCAGAATGAAATGTGCTCCATGCAGAGGCCCCCCCACCCCCTCAGATTCAAGGAACAGCTGGGGTGATGGAGATGGGAGAGCACAAGGAATACTGAGAATTAAAAGAAAGGAAACACAGAGGTGGTTGCTAGAATGATTTTCTGATGATGAAAAATATTTCTGCAATTGTCACTGAATAACATGATCCTTTTTCTTTTTCTCCAATAGAATTCAAGTGATGATATTCTGAAGGATCACTTGGAAAGAGGCGGGGAAGTTTGTACTTGTGTCATTAAAGAGAAACTAGAGGCCCTCCCTCGCGGCACAATGGGTTAAAAGCACTATGAAGATATTGACAGCCACTGCAGCATGACTTTGATCCCCGGCCAAGGGGGTGACCCACATGGCGCAGCAGACCTCTCCTACCCGCCCACTGCTCCCCTCAGCAGTGTGTTTCAGTACATCAGCCTGTCCTGGGGCTCCACTCTGTCTGTGAGGAATTGTCTCACCCCCCCACAGCCTGGCTTGTACCCCAGTTCTGTATGCCTACATAAATATTTTAAAAAAGAGAGAACCCGGAGACATGACGAAGCAGGAATGCTGAGGAAGGTGAGGGTCTAACACTCTTTTCTGTACAAAGAGCACACACAGGAAATCTGTTTCTGGTGTCTAGTGGTGTCTGGTTAAAAGAATGGGCGTGGTATTTCCAGGAACCAGTGAACTGTTGAGCCACCCAGCAACTCAGCCACAGATTAACTACCCTGAGCCATGAGTACTGAAGCAAGTTAAACCACACACCCACCTTCCTTCACAATGAATTTCCTATATGAGCCAGAAAGAGGGAAATAAGTTGGGGCACAGTTAGGTATCTGGTAACTGAGAACTACCCCATCCCAGGAGCTCCAACTAGATAACAAGTGCGTGATGGGGGCTGAGGAAACCAGGAAAGGGGGCATTATTTGACAGAAGCTAGTTGGAGAAATTTCCCTCAGGAAAGGTTCCCAAGGCCAGAGATAAACTATAGTCTACATACTTTTATTATTCATGACATCAACTCCATGGAATTGATATTATTCCTCTCAATGTGTGAATACGAAAGTTTATTCAGGGAGGATAACTAACGTACTGTGAGTCATCTAGTATGTAAACCAGAGCCCAAGTCTAGCTCTGGTGTCTGAGGCAAAGCCCGCCAGCACCACGAGGCCACACTGCCATGTTCTACGTCTCCCCTCCTGCCCCACAGTAGGCTGGCTGGGCAGGCACATCCCTCAGTGATCAGGGATGAGTCCATCAGGCTGTGGATACATCTGTACCAGGCCAGGGAGATACACTTGGGGGATGACAGTTCTTGGGCCTCTCTGGGTCAAGGGCACCAATCCCAAATGACTAAGCACTTCTGGGTGGAAGGGGGCCGTTTACAGAGGCTGATACCTCTGGGGGCAAAAAATACTTCCTAAATGTCTAAAGGAATAGAGAGGTGAAGGAAGATCTGTGAGGTATGTTAGGTATAAAAGCAACAAAAGCTGAAATGCTTGAGCTACCATCAAATGTAACCTTGGCTTGCCTAAGAGTAGAGCTTCTTGGACTGTTTATGGGGTTAAATTAAGGACTATTTTAAAATATGAATCTTGAGGTCATTGCCCTGTTAAACTGACTCAGCAGACCTGAGATGGGGCTGGGAGTTTGTTTTTAACAAGAACTCCAGGTGATTGCCACCATCAGGAAAGTTTGAGAAAGCTGATTTTCACCCAGTCATCCCAAACTAGAATGATCATGAGAATTACCCGAGAGTCTAAGAAGTCAGATTCTGGGGCCATTATTCCAACATAAGGTGTCTGCAAGCCAGCCTCACACCCACACTACTTGCCACCATGTCTGGGGAGCGGAGCCTGAGCTTGGCATTACAGGGGCCCCCCATGCCAGCCCAGGGGCTCCCCTGTGGGACAGCTCCGTGACACTCAAGTAGCATTTTGTTCTAAAATTTTCATTATTCTCATGATGCCTTTTACAGGTCTTTGGAGAGAGAAAAATAATGAGAAAGGTGAAGAGAAAGAAAAGGGCCAGGGAGAATCACAGGGTGAGTAGAGTCAGACTGGACACCCTGATTCCAACAGTCAGCCTATGACTACAGTCCAAACTCTGCTTCAGTGCTGCACCACCTTCTATCAGCTCTGCCTCATCCTTGTGACTCTTGGAATACTGGCTTTTCCCACCTTTCTGAGGCTTACAGGAAGGCAGCCAGTGAGTGAAGAAACCATTTCTTGTTTTCCTGTGTAGTAACTCAGGCATCCCTCTACCCCTCCAGTTCTCCATTTAAAGTAGAGGAAATACTGTTAGAGTCAAGGGAGAAATGTCAGAGGAAAAGGCGGGACTCATTCTGAGGGATTTATGATATTCTGTGGCTTCTTTCGCTGAAACAACACTGTAATTGAGGTTCTCAGTGGGGCTTCCCGTCCTGTAGAATCAGCATCATTTGTGCTACCCCAAACTTTCTACTTTCAGAAACTTGGGGGCTGATGTCCAGCAACCTGTATTTTAACAAGTCTGCATGATTCCCAGGTACACTGGAGTCTGAGAACAAGTGCTGAAGGAAAAAAAAAATCCATGAAAGACAACTGCATGTGGTATAAATGTCTAAGGGCTGTTCTGACAGCAATGCAGGATCCAAGCAGCACGCATTTGTGATGACTCATGCCACCACAGGTACCTCACAGCATCCCAAAATATCCCTCAAACTGGGTGAACTATCTCTTGGGCTCCTGCTGTTGAGGAACGACACATACAGTGATCCCTCCCCAGAGAATATATTTGCATCTTCTAGGTACTCCACACCTCCCTGATTCACAGTTATCACGCAGGGGAAGTGGGGGCATGCACAACAAAGACAGTTGTCCCAGATCATCATCAGTAGGGTTACTGAGAACAGAGGTGGCAGATCCAGAATTTCCTGCCTGACATTCTAGAACACTGGCTATGTGGTTATGGAAAGGAACCAGAAATGGAAGTTGCTGGTGGACTTACAGCTGGGGAAAGTAGCTCACACTTGTCCAGTGTCTATTAGCCAGGCACTGGGCTAGGCATTTATACACTGGTTCTTTCAAGAACTCTCCAAGGGAGGCACTGGACCTATTTATCTTGAAGGGAACTGGGGCTCCTCGTTGCTAAGCAGCTGCACTGAGGTCACACAGCTAGGATACAGCAACCCAACTCCAAAACTCTTCCCCTTTTGACTCTACCAAATTATTTTGGGTCTGGAATTAACAGCAATGTATTATGAGGAAAGGTATCAAGATGGTAAGACCCAGAGATGGGAGAAGTCAATAAAGTGCTGGAAAAGCCAGTTCCTCTCTACTGAATGATTGATGAGAAGGCACCACTAATGACAGGGCAAAGGTCAACCCTACCAGCATCTGTGTAACGCCATTAATGAACTCCATTTGTTCCAAAGGAAAAAAAAATATGCCTTCCCACCTGCCTCTTCCCCACCCTCATTTTCTATCAGTCTCAGAAAGGACAGAGAGATGACAGAGTACAGTACATCTACAGTACTCTGCTGAGGCCCAGCAACACACTGAGAACAGCTAATGCACCATCTTGCTTACTCCTGTGCCAAACCTGTGGAATAGTTCTGATTTACCCCATTTTACAGCTGAGAAAAATCAAAGCTTAGAAAAGTTAACTTGGAAGTGGTAGAACAGAGATGTGAACTGGGCGCTCCGACTTTTCACCTTCCAGGAATAGCTTTCTGGTCCTCTTACCTCACTCTCATTTAGAAAACACACACACTAACACACACACACTTCTTCCTTCCTCTCCTCTCTCCAGTACATTCTGCTCTGAGTCATAGCTGAGACACCCCACCCTTGCCCTTTTCAGAAATCCATAAAAAAAAAATCCCAAAGTAAGCTGCCAAGCATTCACTTCTCTTCTCTTCTCTCACCTCCCCAGGCCTCTTCCACTGCTCCAAGCTGCCCTGACCTCTTCCCCATCAGTGAAAAGAACAGGTCACCCTCAGTTTCTTCTCAGGGCAGCTTCTCTAGCCTTGCCTGTATGTTTGCAATGGCTGTGCTTTTTGGACTATATAACCCGGGACTGGGTTCCATTTTAAAACCCTGACTTTTATTCTTGTTGCGTAAGTCCTTTCCATATATACCACCTCGCATTTAAAGAGGGGTCTCAGGGTAGTGGGCACTACTGGGGCCACTGATTTTCTGAATCACAAAGTCTTACTGAGAAGGCACTTGGCAAGTGTGGCTCCTGCAGCTTGACCTGTCTGTGACAAACACAGCATGGAGTGGCCAAGGCAGCTGTGGCAAGATGGAAGATGTCAAGCAGAGTTGACAAGAGATGGGGCGGGACTGGGCATAAGAGGAAGCGAAGCTCCCAGGCTTGGAGAGCTGGACGGCACTACAGCCACCACCACCACGGGGAAGGACTGTGACTACACAGAAATGTGAGGAAGCATCAGCACCACTGTCAGGGTACAGAATGGTAGAGAATACAGTACTAAGCTACACCAATGGCTAGTCCAATAGCTGTGTACACACACATGCCCCCACCTGGCCTCATGGCATCCCTGACAGCAGTTTAACATCCCCAGAGCTCCTGACTGACAACCAGCTCTTGCAACAAGGCCTGGACCAGGCATGCTCGATCTGCCCATGTGGCCACGCTGTGGGTCTCACCCCTGGCCTCCTGCAAGACCAGCTCTGCCTCTGCCCTTTCTCTGCTCAAAGCACATCTTGCCCCACAGCACAGTAACCAGTTTTGGCCTGAGCGTCAGACTGTTTCTGGGGGGATAGCAAGTATCCCCTCCAATGTTTACCAGAATCTCCCTGAACCTCAGTCTTGAGCGTTTTCTCCACCAAGGCAGCTACCAGGTCCTGGGGCTTCCGAGGCCATTTGGAAATGCCCAGGCCTCCTGCTTGCCTATTACTAGCTACCCTCCCTCTTGCCAGCCCATCTATGCCTGCACTGCACCAGGAAGTGGGTCCCCTCGTCCTTTCCAATAAAACCCATCCTTTGGCCCTGGGAGGAGGCCCCTTGGTGTCCGTTCCATTGGTCTAGGAGCATTATTCCTGCCCTGGAGCCCAGCTGCTCACCCATCTCAGGCTGCCACAGTCACACTCATGTCTCTTCCCTAAGAGGCACAAAACACACAGGGCTGGGGAAGATGTTTACCCAAGACCACTGCTCACTCCCTGCTCCCCCGCTACTGCCCTCACCTGTGTGTTTTGGGAAATAAATGATATCAAGTTAAAGCATCATCAGTAATGTAGAGCCAGGGAAGCACAATTGAGACCCTCTCTTCTCACAGATCTTTGCTTTTTCCTTCTGCATATATTTTTTGTCCTGGGGATCCTCACTAGAGTCACTGTGTTGACAAGATCCCTTAGTTTCGGGGCTATCGGTGTCCCTCCTCAGTAACTGTTAGGACTCAAGAGCACATGCTTGTGTCAGTAAGAGAATCTAAGCCTCCTCGTCAAAGTCTGACAGGGCAGTCTGGGAAGGGCCCGTGTTCTGACATCAGAGAGACTAGGTTTGAGTTCCAGTCCTGGTTATTACTGGGTATGTGACGTACACAAGTCATCTGGGGCCAGCGTCATTACTTATGCAATGGAGAAAGTAGTAACACCTCCATCATAGAATTGTCAAGGGAAATAACTGGCATTGGGCAGTAAAACACCTGTGCTGTGCCAGCAGATAGGATATTACTAATAAAGAGAAGCTGTCTTTTAGTTGTATTAGCCACCTGTATTAGGGGGACATCATCCCAGTTTTGACACTCTAAGCCTCAACTGAGATAGTACGTGGAGATCTGGAGACGAGGATCCCTGAAGGCCAATGGCCTGGCCTGTGAGTTAGGGTGTGTGAATTTTTACGTAATGGCAAAACATAAGAAAAACAGATCAATGTTTTAAGATTTTAACAAGTCATCTATGGAAGAGAAAAGAAATGCCAGCCCCCTGCCTGACACAGGGGAAGTAAGAAGAATAAAGAGGTAATTGTTTCTTTACAAGTTTTACAGAAGTCCTCTGCCAGGAGTCTATTTCAGCCATTATCTGAAGAGCTCTTACAATATCACTGTCTCTGGATCATAGGAAAGTTACCCCATTGTCACTGTCAACAGAGCCATCTGGGTCACTGCCCTGGCTGTCCTATCACTTGGCTGCTGATGACAGCCAGGGGCTGTGAGCTGAGCAGTAGCCTGGCAGCCGGGCTTGGCTGGTCTCTGCCTCAGCAGCCGGGGGTGGAGCAGCTGCAGGGGCAGCCGTGCACCTGTGGGCACAGGGGCTCTGGGCCCCACACTCTCTGGAAGTGTCTCCATTCATGCGACTATTCTATTGGGGTCTATTCTGAATAGACCCCAAAGTGGTCTTTTCTTCAATATGGCCAGGATTGTGATTTGATTTTATGCCTCCTAGTATTTCTTAATCAAGTCAGTTCACAAATGTGAAAGCCAGCAAGCTATGTACGCTCTGAGCAGAATACATTATGAGGAAGGTAGCGTCAACAAGCTGTCAGATAATAGTTTAATGAAAGGTTGGAGTGCTATTTATTTCTCAGGGTAGATGACAACATGGAACTCGGCGCCTTTGTCTATTAGCTCGCAACTGATGAGTCAGAGCAGCTCCTGCTGCTCTTAGGAGCTGTCATTTGTTTGGAGAGAGAGTAGTGGGAGGGGGAGCAGGAATGAAAGACATCCATGCAACCATTAGCTTCCTCTCCACTGAGGAGGCTTCTGTTTATGAGTTAGTTTGTTGAGGGCCCTGCTGTGCCGCGGATGTGTGCTCTCTTGAAAGAGGGTAACCCTTTTAATAGAACACCACAAAGGGGAAGGTTAGCAGTGCCACCCCTGTGACAGCTGATGCACTGCCCCCCGCTCCCCATATGCACACAGTCAGAGCCAGGGAAGAACACTGGGCAGGTTTCACAAAGCGGTGGGCAAAGGGGAGGCCGAGGGGGGCATGCCAGGCTGTTTACCTTCCCACAGATCCACGGTCTGAAAAATGTCAGTGGTCCTGACACCGTATATCTCTGCTGCTTTTAGGAACTGGGAGATTTGCTCCATCTGCTTAAAAGCCATCTTTGACTCTGAGATCTTGGGAATGGGCTCTTGTCCTGGTGGATATAAACTGTTTATCAGCTTACACAAGACCTGAAGGCGGCAAGGCAGAGAAAACAAATCAGTGCTTCCCTTTGTACTTACCAGTCACTTCATGAAAAACGAATCCTTCCTCCCCCGGGCCCTAGATACTCCCTCTGGTGACCCCGAGGCGCACAGCTCACAGGTTTGGACACAGGCAAGCATGCTTCCATATCAAACCCCAAAAACCAAGGGACCCCATTCCTCTTTCCAGGGTTGCTAGTGACTGCAGTAAACCCAGTGGTCTGGGATTCCCTTTCTTTCTGTTCCTCTATGCTCCTCTAGTCTTTTTTTCTGGGTGAGGGAAAGAATGTGACAGATAGGGAATGATGGTTGGCGAAGAGGCCATGGTTACAGGCTTTCCATAGAGGAAAGAGTTAGGAGCTCTAGGAGAGGTCAAATGATGACAGTCTAATCTCTCTTCTATCCAAAGGCAGAATGAGAATCAGGTTTCCACAACTGGTCCCATATGTGCTAATGATATAGCAAAGAACTGACTGGGTAGCTTCCTCCCAGACACATATAACCCAAATCCTGGGGGAGCCCAACAGAGGGTGGAATAGCAGTTACATAACAGTAAATCCCAGCCTGCAGGGAGAGATGGGCTTGTTTGAATCCGCAGAGCCCTCAGTCTCCAGAGCCAGAGAGCATCCTTCTTTTAACTGTTACCCATAAGGATTCCCTTTGGCTTCCTAAGAACCCACCCATTCTGCCCAGGCATTGAGCACCCCCAAGGAGCATGGCTGCTAAGAAGGTTGGGCAGGTGATTAGCTGCCCCCCCCACATTCCTTTGTTTTACTATGTTACCACCTCATTCTCCAGGGGAGGGATGGCCCCCAAGAGCTCAAACACCAAAAGGCTGGAAGCAACTCAATGAAATACTTATTTCTGTTCTCAGTGGGAAAAGCAAATGGGATAAGAATTTGCCTGCTCAGAAGGAACTGCCAGGGCTAGGACTGTGGGGAATCCCCGAAGATACCTAGGGTATTGTTCAGGGAGCCCTGAGTTTCCCACCCTGAAGAAATCCGACGTTCCCTTTCCCTCCCCATGAGACTAAGAGCTTGGCAGAGGCAGCTCCTCCTGCAGCCTCGCTTGAAAAGAGAAGGCTCTAGAGGGTTCCCTGCCTGACGCCCCAACACCAGGATCGCTGCCAGCCGGCCTTACCGTCCCGTCCATTAACCATTTCTGAAAATGGGCCCTGCCGGGGGGCGGGTGCTCTATGTCCTCCGCGCACTGCAGGATGATCCAGTCCACCAGCTTGTTCTCCAGGTCCGCGTCGTATTTCTGCTCGATCTTCTCCTGCACCTCTCGGCTTAAGCCGTAGCTCGGGCCCCTGTTAGCCATCTCTGCAAGAGAAGAGCGGACACGCGCCGCGCGGCATCCACACAATAGCAGCAGCAGCCCCCGCGCCCTGCAAACGCGCCTGGGATATGGCTGGGCGGCCTGGCCCAGCAGCAGCAAAGCGGCCAGAAAGCCGGGCGTGGTTTAAATCGAGGAGCCAATGAAGCCCATGGGTTTCACCTACAAACGGCAAAGAAAAGCGTAGCCACGCGCCAGTCACTCCAGGATAAAGTCCCTGCCCGCCCGGGGGGAGGGGGGGGGGGCTGGAACGCCCCTCTCAGTCCCGCCTATCAATGAAATGAGGGGCTGTACAGAGACTCACAATCACGACCAAACTCCCAAGCAGCGAGGGGGGCTAGGTGGCAGTCGTTTCTTCCCCCAGCTCGGGAGCACTTTGCCAAGCAAGGCAGGAACGCCGAGATGGGAGCGAGCATGTAATTAACAGGCTGGGAAGAAGGCCGCCTTAACGCTTAGCAGCTGAGGCTGCATCGCAGCCGGGAGAACGGTCCACTGATTTGATTTTCTCCTCGCTGAGGAGGGTCAAATCAGGGCCGTTGCTAAGGGCCGTCCAAAAAGCCAGACTTCTCGGCTGTCCGTCAAGCCCGCGCGCCTCCCTCCCCTGCCAGCTTTCTGGACTGCACAATTCTTCTCCTCAGGGAGACAGCTGATTGTCTACAAGGCCAGCATCCAGCTGCCAGGGGGTGGGGGTGGGAGTGGGGGTGGGGCCTGTGGGAGAGTCCATTCTGTCAGCTGTCCATCTGTCAGGAGCTGCCAAACCGTTTTCCCCCTACCCAGTAACAGTTGTCAGGCTGGACTGGAGGGGAGGAACTGAGAGCTGTAACCATTAATTGATTCAGCAGCCAGCCAGATTTCAACGAGAAACAGCCATTCTGGTGGGAAATTGTTGTGCCTCAGTTTGACTTATTCAAGGAATTTAGCATTTTAATGCTATTTTTCATGGAAACAACTAACAGCAAGTTTTATAAATTAAGCAGAGACCAATATACTAAGAACTCTTAGGGTGAATGATTTTGATGTAAAGATTTCATCTGCTTGTTTTAATTAAGGACCATGAAAGCATAGCTGGCATGTTATCAGTGGTATTTTAACTGAGTATTTGGTAATTAGCAAACAAGACCTCAGGAACTGTCATCAGACCTAAGTTGGACAGACATTTTTACAACTGCTAAAGAGCTTGGCATTTTGTCTTCTAGACTGTGAGCCATTAGGGGGTAAAGAGTGAATCTTGTCATTATGCAAATCTCTGTATACTTTTCATGAAGACAGGCACCCCCAAATTTTTCCATTGATTCATTCAACAAATACTTTTGGGGGGCTTATGCCAAGTACTGTACTGGGGAAGAATAAAGTGTAATTCTTGGCCTGTAGAACAGATTGACTAATAAGCTTAGGCACATAAGAGAAAGCAATTCTAGTACATGGGATGGTGATCTTTGTCCCTGTGGGAAACTGATTAGGAGCTTTGCAGGAAGTGACTCCTCATATAATAGATGCATTGAGAAAAATCTCTTGCCAGTTGGAGCTTGAACTAGTGAAGATGTAATTAGTTCAGATATGAGGGTGGTTTGCCTGGTGGTCAGTAGTTGAAGGCTGGGGAGAAAATTCTGAAAAACAAAGGAGTGTGAGAGAATCAGGAGTTGCTGAGAGAGAAGTGGGTTTAGAAAAAGGGGCAAAATGGGCCAACAAATGCAGGTCTTTACACTCATGGGATCTTCAGCCAAAGTTCTAAACACAACAGACCTACCCTCAGGAACTTGGAACTTAGCGGAATAGTTTAGAGCAAAGAATCTCTTCAGCAGCAATTTGGAAGTGACTGAGTTGCATCTTGGGTGGCAGCAATAAAATTCATTTCAACCTAGGATTAAGGGAACAGAGGCCCAAACATAAAGCATGTTATTTTCTCCATGGTTGGATTTGCTGTGAGGAAGAGGGTGGGTTTTTTGTATAGATATAAAAAACTGGAAGCAATTCTTAAAAGTGTACATTTGCCTTTTTCTCTCACCCTCCCTCTTTGCTTCCCATCCTGTATGTCCTTCCTCCCTCCCTCCCTCCCTCTTATCCAATTCTCTTTCCCAGACTGTGTTATAAATCTTTGTACTCAAACTCAAAGATTTCTTCCTATTGTAAGAAAGTATTTGGGGTGCTCTGAGTATAATAATTGAACGCACAGTTCCGTAGAGGATTCAGTGGCAAAAAGGAAGAGGTTACAGCAAGACACAGAAGTGTCCAGAAATCCATAGGATGTTTTAGCGACAAAATGCTTGATCTCCTGGGGACTGACAATAGAAATCAGCTCCACCCTACATTTACTGAGTACCTATACAAGATTATATAGTTTATTTTCAATATCTCTTTTATAAAGTTCTCAATATCTGAAATTAAAAAATGAGATGTTGCGGCCCTCCCTGGTGGCGCAGCGGGTTAAAGCACTGCACTGAGAAGCTAAAGCCACTTCCGCATGAGTTCGATTCCCGCCTGCCCCAGAGGTGACCACATGGTGTGGCAGACCTCTCCTGACCCACCCGCTGCTCCCCTCAGCAGTGTACTTCGTCGATCTGCCTGTTCTGCTCCCCACTCTGTCTCTGGTGAAGCCTCTCACCGCCCCGAGCCTCTGGCCTGTACCCCAGTTCTGTATGCATAATAAATAAATCTTTAAAAAAAAATGAGATGTTGCAACACTGTCTAGTAGCAAAGAGAAACTAAACAATAAATGCCAGCCAGCGGTGGTGATAAAAAATACAACAACAAGGACTTCAGGAACAATTACATCTAGATGAAGGTGGTGGTGGTGGGGGGGTGGTTAGGGGAAGTTCTTAAAATAAATAAATTTAAGCCTTGAGAGATGAGTATGTTTGTTAGGTGAAAGGGGTGAAGTATTTGCCAGGTAGATGGGGCAGAGCAGGGCATCTGGAATGTTGCTAGCGAAAGCAATTTAAGAAGGCTGTAATGTCAGGAAGCCTTCATATTACGAAATAGTGAGCTTGCAAGTACCATGATTAAATTTTCTATAATTTTGAGAGCCACTTGTTAAACTCAGCCATTACAAGCAGTTACATGATCTAAGTGTACACTTAAATTATATTACAAAGGTTAAATACTCAAAATGGATGCTTCCTAATTTATTCTGCTACATTTTACCACTATGTTTTTGAGGCTCTTTAGGATTATTGTGTCTGTTTTGTATAAATACCACATATCAGGTGTGACTGATCATTGTTTCCCAGCTCAGATTCAGTGACGTCACAGCCATAACTTGAAACCACCCATGATGGTAAAACTAGGCCATGAGTGATAGCATGTACTACAAATGGTGGTGGTGTTTTTTTTTTTTTAAATTTATCCTTCAAAAACTAGCTGTTATATATTTACCAACTTTGCCACTGTACTTACATGCAAAAGAGCTTGAGATTTTTCACAGGGAAAGACAACCATCAGGTCTGATTGGGTGAAGGAAAAGGGGGTGGGCCAAATAGTTCACAAGTTTGGCTTGTACCCTGGGCGGGAATACATAAAGTGGAAAGGTTATAAAGTTTGGACTTTCTGCACTTGGGGAGGTTCACGATCTATCCCATTTCACTTGGAAGTTTGTTTTATGGGTTTGGAGTTCATCTGGGATGGAGAAATATACTGGAATCATCTGCACCAGGAACTTGGGGCTCTTCCTTGGCACTGCCTGTGGAGATAAGCACCATCTTTTGGTAGGCATCTTGGCCACCCTCAGACCCCTCAGCATGCCCAAGATCACCAAAAAGGGCCAAGAAGTTCATCCAGCACTAGTCAGACCAGTAAGTCTAAATTCAGTGTAACTGGCAGAAATCCAGAGCATTGACAACAGGGAGAGTGGAAGCTCAAGGGTTAGATTTGATACCCAACTTTGCTAGTGCGAGCAGCAAGGAAACAAGTATGTGCTGTCCAGTTCCTAGTCCATTGTGCCAAGGAGTTTAAAGTTCTGCCGACGTGCCATACATCTCATGGTGTGGCCACTGCTCTCTGGGTCTGTGCAAAGCCCCCACAGAGAGCAGTACAGGTGACCATCAGAATCACCCATCCCAACACCAAGCAGCACAGCACAGAGGAATAGATAACTCATGTGCACATTGCATTGTATTCACAAAGTCAAAAAAGAGCAAAACAGAAAAAGCAGGCACATAGGTGAGGTGATTAAATAGTGAGAAGAGCCAGGGTCAGCACAAGGAAAAAACTGTCATCCTAAGGTACATGAGTGGGGAGCCACAGGAAGGGCTGATGGGCGTGGCCACAGATGCTCTGAGCCAGCATTAAACCATGTGCAAACAAAACTATTGGCTGCAGGGGTCTTCTGAGGAGGGTATACACATTTCTCAAAGTCTACTTATATTTTAAAATACCAATTTTATCAAAAAAGGAGGAAACATTCTATTCATGAAAGAGAACTGAGGACCCAGCAGCAAATTTCTTGGAAACAGATGAAGATGAGTAAGGAAGGCTTCACTGAGAAGCTGAGAGCTTTTTAAATAGAAGTTCATCTGTCAGCAAAAATCTGTAAGTCAACCAGAGTCCAAATGAGAAAGGATCATTTCCTCAAAAGATAGATTTGGTTGGAAAAAAAAAAGGAAGAAAGGTTCCAAGGAAAATCCCCAAAAGGAACCAAACAACCCCCTGGTCCAAAGAAAAAAAAACATATGTCTAGGTTTCAAGCTGAAAAAGTTGCTTTAGATTTGTATTTAAAGAGAATCCGAAAAAGGTAGACTCCAATTCCACTCACCTTTTTACTTCCTCTAGAAAATGAGTTCTTGGTTGTTTACTTTTGTCCCTGTGTGGTTCCAATTTAATGAAAACTGGACACACTCCCTTTGGGCACCGCCCAGGGGTAGTCACGTAGCACGTCCTGCCCTCCTTGCTCTATCTCCCTGCTTTATATAACTCAGCTTCACCCAAAGCTCCTTTCCTCCTCTCCACACAGACCTTCTACTGGCTCAGAAAACAGCATACAGTTTAGATTTGTCTGGAAATGCCTCCAAGCGGAACAGATGCAGAAAAAGCAAATCTATTATGTGACCTCTCTCAGCCTTTCTCTCCACTGGCATTGCCTTCTCCTTTTCCACTGTATGTGCTGAGTGGTTCAGAGGGGTCATTCTGCTTTTTAAAATAATGCACAGCTTTCAGGGGCTGCTGGCTCTCCAAGTATTTCCCATGTCACTGAATACATGGCATGGGGTGGTTTTAGAAGAAAAAAGATTTTGGGAAAAATAGGAAAAAACACCAATTAACAATGTACCAGAATACACTAAACTTCACTGAAAATATACTTTGGAATTTGCAATGTTAATTACTTCAAAGCTACATTAAATTTTAAAACAGCACTTCCTACCTCTAGGTAGTGAAGGATCCTCCTCCTCACCTTTCTCCTCATTATTGAGCGTTTAAAGGATACCATACAACTAACATTGCAATGTGGGATCCTGAGCCCTGGAAGGTCCAGCCAGTCCAGCTTGAGAAGCACCACTTCTCCCTTGCTGCCACTTCATTTCCTTGGCTCCCACAGAGCATGTCCACCAGCATCTCACTGGACTGGGCTCTGCACACAGTACAGATAAAAACTGAAACACTAGTGACTTCTAGGTGTCACTGTCCTAGGTGTGTTGTGCTCATTTAACTTCTTGCCCCTTGTCTAGGTTTATGTATTTAAGAGTTTAACTGCTCAAACTCTCTTCTAAACGGTGAGACAGGTTTAAGCCCAAGCTCTGGTCTCTGTCCTCAATCACTATGATGAGGACATGTATTTTATGAATCTCTACATGTATATTGCAAATCTCTAAGAATGTTACTTTTATTACTTTTCACCTTAGAAAACTCTTGATGGCAGTAGCCCTTTCTTTTCATCTTTTTGCTCCTTGTGTCCAACATACTTGGACAGAGTAGGGTCCATTACCTCACACCAGCCAACCTACCACTGGGTACCATGTGTACACAGATGATTTGTATTTTTTAAATTTGTAAATGAAATTTGTAAATTTCTGTCCAGTATAGAAGGTAACTCAGATTGTAGTTTAATCGCCCTGTAGGACATTAACTGTTTTGAGTCAAAGGTTCTCAAGACCATCCAGGAGTCAATGATTTGTTGTGACTCACAGGACCTAGCATTGTACTACTCAGTTGTAATTTACTACTGGGACTGGCTACAGAGCAAAATCAGCAAAGAAAAAGCAACCTGTGTGGTTAACACCAGAAAGCACAAACTTCCAAGCATTTTCCCTCAGTAGTCACACAGGATGTGCTTAACTCCCCCAGCAACAAGTTGTAACAGCACGGGGGAAGACTGCCCACCAGAGAAACTTGCAACTCAGGACTGAGGTTTACTGGGGACTGGTCACTTAGGATGTGTATGCCTAATACCCTTGAAAATTCCAGACTCCCAGAAAGAAAGCAAGTGTTCAGCACAAACTACCTGGTTTGTTGAGAGTAGGTAGAACAAGTCACTTTAATCAGTTGTAGGTGCGAATGAACTTTCCTAAGATCCAAGTTTCTGGCTACCATCTGGCTAACCTTGTAAGCAGGTCTCTGTGAGGATAAACAATCATTCCTGCTATGCTAGTTCTTTTAGGTTCTGGAATATTATCTTAATATTCTCTCTTCAATACCTATACATGTTTCTTGAATTGTCATTTGAGCCAGGCTTACAATCTGCTGCTTCCCAAAGTTAAATAAATCTTTGACAGAAGCTCCTTGTCTATACTCATACATTTATATACATACATAGCCATATTCTAAAGTTAGTACAAATTTTACTTTGACATACATAATCTAAGAAGGTCAAATGAAGTCTTGTGAAAATTTAAAAGTCAAAGAGTTCCAACTCAGTAATATCAAGGCTGACTACTGCACAAGTACATTTTAGTTATATTTTTTAAAATTTGCATTTCATTTTCTTACTAACACTCATTTTGATTTATGCCATTGACTTTTGTATTTAAGATACATATTTAAAAAGCAATGTTTTTGTAGGTAGGCAAAATATATAAAAATAAATTTCCTCTTTAGAATATCAAAGTGCTACATTATTGTATAAGATGAAACTCTATTGAAATAGATGATTATGGGCCCTCCCTGGTGGTGCAACGAGTTAAAGCACAGCACTATGAAGCTATCCACAGCTACTGTGGCACAAGTTTGATTCCCAGCCAGGGAGGTGACCCATATGGTGTGGCAGACCTCTCCTGTCTCACTCGCTGCTCCCCTCAGTAGTAGACTTCGTCAGTCTACCTGTTCTGCTCCCCAGCTTGACTCTGGTGGGTCCTCTCACTGGCCCTGCACCTCTGGCTTTTCCCCAGTTCTGTATGCATAAATAAATCAATCTTTAAAAAAAAAAAAAGAAATAGATGATTATAAGACAAAATTTAGAAATGTCCTATCTCTTTTATATCACTTTAAAGTTTTAAGCCTTTAAAAGATAACTTTAATTTCAAGCTAAATAGAACATGCAGAATATAATATATATAGCAATAGCCTTATTTTTAAACTTACTTATGTTTCAGACATTTCACTAATTATTTTATTACAAAGCATTTTTCTTTACTTTGTGAATTGTATTTAAAAACAAGTAATTTTACAAACCTCCATATACACTAATACCAAACAAAAACCAAATTCAAGCTTTATTAGCAATTCTAAGTAGAAGAGAATGCCATTATGAACTGGAACAATTAACACGAGCTTTCTAAGGTAAACATATCTTAAATAAAAAAATAGGAAGAATTTAGATATATATATATAAAAAAAAATCAGGGATCGAAAGGAGATTTCCCAAACAGTAGCTGGTATTTTCCTTACCATTTGTATCATTGTGCAAATACATCATTAAATACGCATGTGATATTTACAAATCAAAGCTAAGAGGAAAAAAATTTCTATGAATTGGGATCTTTCATCTGTTATCCCTCTTTTAATCACCTACATTCATTAGTTTACATACCAACTAAGAATGTATTTCTAATTTACTACAGTTGAAAGTGTATCAATTAAGTCATCAATTGTGCAAAGAAGAAGATGAATGTCGCCTTTTTCCTTCATTCGATGATCACCGTGTTTTCTAAGGATGACATCTACATCTCTGCTGACTACTCGGTTAGCAACTTGCATGGATGTATGCCAAGGTATGATGTCATCCTTCATGCCATGGAGCAATCTAATTGGGCAGTTCACGGGGATAGGGCTATGTAACAAGCAGTGGTGTTCAGCTTCTTTAATGAAACTGTACGGAATCTGGTAATCTTCTCCTTCATTGTATTTTGATGGAAAGGTCCACATACCTTTCATTTCTATGTCCATTTTCACCTATTGGGAAAATAAAAGGATGCAATGTTAAACATGCACCATTATTTATCTATGAAAAGTAGTACTTGAGGAAGAGGAAAGGAAATTAAAAAAATATAACAAAAATGTACAATTACATACTATGTGACAGGTGCTGCAACAGTATTTTAAACACAGTATTTCATTAAGACCCTGGCAATAATGCTGTTATTTCAGTTAAGCAGGCTGTTCAGAGGTATTACCTGTTGGTCCAATGTTCTCAATTTATCTAATTCTATCATGTAACAACTTAAAAATTAGGTGTCACTCACCCCAATCAAAAGGGGTAAATAAAGGTGGGGGGAGTATCACCCCAATCAAAAGGGATAAAGGTGGGGAGTACAATATCCCTTCAAACATCCAGGTATTTGTCACATTATGTGAAATCAACTTTTATGAATAAAAATTATTTAGATTTTAGCAGTATAAAAAGCACTTACAGGAGAAACAAGTGGGGGTGGGTAGGGAAAGAAGAATCAAACAGAACTGAAAATGAAAAACAAGACAGAAGTTATTCTGGAATAATCATATATGTGCAATTTTAGGTTAAATGTACACAAATACATAGTTTTTGCATTCTGGAGTCATATGAAATGAGAAAAAATATTGTCTGTAGTTTTGGATGACAAGTCTTCCAAATACTTTCTGCACACTGTGTAGGTATATGATTTCTAATTTATTCTTTTAAAATTTAACAGTGGATGTACTTTGTATACTTAAAGTGTTTCTATTTCCTATTATATTTGGTATTAAGTGATTTTTCTAATAAAAGTAACATATACTTGATGTAGAGAACTTGGAAAATATGAAAAGTATGAAAAGAAATAAATCACCTATAATCCTACCATGTGGTCATACTCACCAGTTTTGGTGTATTTCCTTCCATTGTTTTTCTGTATGCATTTGGTTTACACATACAACCACACACATGTATGTAATATGTAATATACATACACATACAGCTTCCCAAGCTGTTAATTTAATACACATATTTTATATATTTCTGGGATTAAAACAATTTTAATAGAGGTTTTTAAAGGCTGCGTGATGGTCCAATAAAATCAATATAATTGGCAATTCCTACTCTGCTGGACACTTACATAAGACCTTTAGCTGTATATAGTACATTCTTTGGAAACATTATCAGAATTTGAACTAAATAAATTAACATGCTAGTAATGAGAGGGGCATGTTTGAAAAAGGTAATAATTTGGGGTAATAAGAGAATGCAAGCTAAACTGTGCCAATAATGTAAACAGTTTTAAGGCTCTTGCAACATATACCATGAAGGGCATTTTTGACTTAGAAAAAAATTGGTAGACATGTTATCAAAATTAAAGAAAAATAATATAGAATTAAAGAAAAGCAATATAGAATATATTTAAAAATTTTTGTATTTAAATTTTCAATAAAGACACTTATTTTTCCATGTTTAAAGTGCTGTTATTACATATATAAAATATGAAAAAATTAAATTGTACCATATATATGATATAATCTGTTTTTAGGCACTTTAACATAGTTTTAAAATTTTCAATTTAATTATTTATTTAATGAGTAGGTTGCACACTTGAAAGCTATACCTCTAAATGTCTTCAAATGATTTGAAATTATTAAGATTCTAAAAAACTGTAAAATATGACCATATTATTAGAGGTCTCTGCATAAAAACATGTGAACCAAAAATTTAAAGCTGAGATTACAACATTATCGAATCTATTATTTCAGTAATTACATCTTAGTTTTACTGGTTATAAGATGAAGCTATGTTATTGAGCTACAGAGGATGTTGAGTTTTTAAGCCTGGCCCACCAATTAGCTGTTATTTGCATAGAACAGTGTCCATTTGGGAAAAAACAAAAAACAAAAAAAAAAACCTTGACTTTGCAACATATTTTATGTCCCAAACCCTCAAAAACAAAACAAAAAGTTCAGGAATAACAAAAAATGCATTAACCAAAGAAAATATACAATATATGTAAGTTTTATACAAAAAGAAAAACTGTTAAAGCCATGTGATTGTGAAACTTGGATACTAAGCAGCTGTGCATCCTGCCTGGCGCCCTCTGGTGTCCAGAGAATGCAATAATTAGTGTCAGTAAGAGGTGGGTCAAGTTCCTAGACAATGAGAAATGCTGGGTCTTCACATTCTGGGGCTGAACAGAGGGCGGCTTCAGCTCCCCTGACACTTTTAGGGCTAGATGTTTGTGTGGGAAAGGACAGACAGTGGTCTGAGAGTCCCGGCTCTTTGCCCGTGCTTTCAACATGACAAGGGCACAAGACGCTTCTGTTAACAACCACTTCTGGCCTGATCCAAGACTAGCCAAGATAGGCTCCGGATCTTTGTTACTTAAGAGATACCTACTATTCCTATACACTTAAAAATATATAGAGATCTTGTCTTTTATCAGCCACCAACAAAAACTGACTCCTTTCTAATCTGCTATGTCCCGGAAAATGTTTCCTACCAAGAAAACTGGCAATTATTATGGAGCTAGAGGATGGAATGGCGAGTCCAAGATTTAGATGCAGAAATATGCAATGGTTTGAAAATGTAACAGGTGAGGGCACTGAACAACCATGTATGAACAACAACTAAGAAAAAGAAAATGAAACAAAAGAAAAACAAATAGCAGATAAGTGTAACTAAGACCAGCTTTGTAATTTTAGTCTGAGAAAATCCTAAAAGGAATGACTATGCAGACAATGTCATTACTTACCAGGCTGGGGAGAACAATGTGAACTAAGAATACACTTACAACAGATGACATATTGCACTGGTATCAATGCAGAACTAAAGATCAAACTCAGTAACATTCTACTACTCAACACGTAAGCTTTTTCCTTCACTTTATTTTCCTCCTTTTTGTTCTGCTCTTCCACATTTTGCAATAGTGGTTCTCAACTTCACTTGTGGAGGAGAAGGGATTTGGTGTGTGTTAAAATAGATTGCTGGACCCAACTCCCAGTTTCCAATTCAGGTGCTCTTGGGTGAAGCTCAACGACATGCATTTCTAACGTGTTCTCAGGAAATGCTAACACTGAGGCTTGGGATACCTGTTCTGAGCCACTCCCCTAGACTGCTTTTCTTTTTTTTAATATTCTGTGCCTAAGGTATGTCTGGATCTTAGTCTCATGGGTGATATCCAGATTCCTGGGAAAAGACAGTCAAGTAGAACTCAACTGACTGGGGAAACAAACAAAAAAAAATCCCACAAAAATAGCTACTATCCATTACTTACTTTTTTCAGAGAGATGAAGTGCTTAAACATATATCCAGTAATAAAATATAATAAACTAGTTACCTTCTAAATTATTCCAGAAATCTCTTGTGTAAACATCTTTTGCTAAAGAACATGCTAGTAATGAATTAAAAAAAAAAAAAAAGGTTTAGTTAGGCATAAAAAAGAATGCTACCCAAATCTTCAAGCAAGGAATGGTAACTCTCATCTCCTGTGTGCTAATTCTGATTCACAGGAGTGTGGAGCTCTTGCAGAGCTCTGCAGAGACAGAATTTGAAATTGCTTTTAGGCTAAAAAATGTTTCATAATTGATTAGCCAAAGTCTAATATGGTCATAAGAACATAACATATAACATAATATTCTCATAAGCCACAAAATAAGAAGCATAAAGAGATCATGATGATGAGTCAAATAAGTAAATATGGTTAACAAAGAAAATTCTGCTTAAAAAAGAAAAACAAAGTGTGATTTCATAGTGTGGCTCAAATATTTAGCAAAGTGATGTTAAGGGACTATGAAAAAAAGGGAACTTAAACAAGAGACCAGATAGTTAAGGGAGGCATAGATTGCATATCAATGGGCAGGTGAGGTAAAAGATGGGTCAGCATCATGTATCAAAGGGTAGATGAACAGTCAAATAAAGAGGAAGGGAGAAGGGAGGACACAGATACTGAGACTGCCTGAGGATTACCTCGACAGGAAGCTGGTTGAACTGTGTTACCAGGCCGTCTGCAGCTGCAGCTATGCCAATAAGAGCAACCACTTTCTCTGGCCGTGCAATTGCAGCATGAAGCATAAGCCATCCACCAAGGCTAGACCCAACTAGTATCTAAAAGTAAAAAAAAATATATATATATGTATATATAGTTTAAAGAGGGTTTTTCTTATCTCTAAGAATAATTTAATAGAATGCATGTACTTTCCCTCTTTTATATCCACTGGATACCAGACTTTTTTTTAATTCATACAGAGTTGGGGTATAAGTCAGAGGTGCAGGGGCAGTGAAAGGTTTCACCAGAGGCAGAGTAGGGAGCAGGACAGTCCTATGGACGAAGTACACTGCTGAAGGGAGCAGCAGGCGGGTCAGGAGAGGTCTGCCGTGCCATGTGGGTCACCTCCCGGGCCTGGGATTGAACTCACACTGAAGCGGCTGCAGCCAGCTTACAGTGCTTGCAGTTACGCCACCATGGAGGGCCTGGATACCATACTTTTAATGAGTGATATTAAAGTGACTTTAATGATAAAAATAAAATTTTAAGATAAGAAGTAAACTTTTTGAGAATGAAATGCAAGAACAAGTTAAAATCAGACATCAAAATAGGTCATTAAACATTTAAAAATACTTAATAAATTTTCATATTTAAAGAAACAGCTCAAATAACATGAGGTTAATTAGTGTCACCATATTTAACAAAAGTCACCTGTGGTCCAATCGCTAAGTCATCAATTACAGAAAGAACATCTTTTCTCCATTTTCCCACTGTGCTTTCTTGTAGGTTCCCATCTGAATTTCCAACTCCAGAATAATCAAACCTGGGAAAAGGGAAATGTCTATATTTATATTTGCTTCTGTGATTTTAAAGGGAAATGGCACTTTCATCATCTTTTAAATGCCCCAAATATACTAAAATCAGACACTTAAGTTAGTACGTATTTCAGCAAAGCATCCTGGGCTAGCCTTAAAACGGCCCAAGGATGTGCTCTTTTCACCTCTTCCGTTGCTACCAGAGTGGAGCAAGTGACTAACTGCCCTTAACTGGATTATCAATCTCCTAACAAGTCTTCCCGTTTCCACTTTTTATCCTGCTAGTCTATTCTTTATGCAGTGTTCAGTGATTCTTTTCAAACAAAGAACATGTCCTGCACAAACCCACCAAAGGGTTTCTATTTTTACACTGCACACTTTAAAGTAAAAATCCCCATTTTAAGATAAATGATACTGGCTTCTATGTCTCTGATCTCATTTCTTACTTCCTTCCTCTCTAATCTCCTCACTTTCCTTTTTGAAGTTAATGAAATAGACCATCCACATTCCTGTCTCAAGAGTTTCACATTAGCTTTTCACTCTGTAAGGAACATTCTACCTCCAGGTACCCATTGAGTTTTGTTCCCCTTACTTCATTTAGGCCTTTGGCTCAAATGGGCATCCCCTGAGAAGACTTCCCTGACTAAAACTAGACTTCATCTTCATTTCCACATCTTGTTTTATTGTCTTCCTACCAAATACTACTACTTGATATTATATATTTGATTACTTGTTTGTGGCCTGGTCATCTCAGATTGATCTTTTATCATTTCACCAGAGGAAACAGACTTTAGCCAAACTAATGAAAGTACTGTTTCTGAAAAAGGGTTTATGTTTTTTGCCTGTTTTAAGCCTCAGACTAATTTCTTTACTTGGAAGACCTTTATCTAATAGTAATAGTTATTACTATTAGCCTCTCTCAGAGCTTAGCTGAAATGTGTGGGTCTGCTAGACTTAAGTGGTCTGGTCAACCACCTGGAGTGCATCACCCCCTGGAACACCTAGGGGGCCATATAACAAGGGGCCCCAGAAATTGGTCAGTGGAATGCTTTGTTGATAACACTGGATTCATGGCTGGGGGTCTGGGTATGGTTTTAATTACAACATGCAGTCATCACGCAGATAAGAATTATCTGGTCAGCAGAGTCACATTTCCCTGAAGCTCTAGATGACAAAAACACATCTTTAGTTTCTCACATCTTTTTCTCTCTGTCCTCCTACCCCACGTAACTGATGCTGTACGATTATTCTATCAAGAAAAAGGTCAGACTCTTGCTCATTCAGCAGCATCCTGCACTGTGCAACTGCTCCATGACTTCCATATCAGTGTGGTACTGCTGATACAACAGAAATGAAGTTTTGTTGTTTTTTTTTTTTTTGTGGCTAGGTTTAAAAAAAAATCTCTCACATGAAACTTCTATTGAATTCATTTTTTATCAGTCACAAGCAATTTACTATCCACTGAGCTGAAAGATTGTTTATGTGTGTATATAAATATCTAATGATTCCTGTAAGAGTTTATGTATTTGTCTCTGCCTTATTCATGGTGACTAACAAGTGAACCTCACACACTGTTATAATATATACTAAATTAAGAGAAGTGGAAAGCAAAAAATTCAAAGCTTTCACGTTTTTCTGATTTGTAAAATCTGATGAAAACAAACCCTAGTGTTTTCAGTGAATGTGAGAGAATATATGTGACATATAGCATGTAGACATTTTCTTGGAGGTAAGAGATTGTTAAGTGAGGGAAGAAAAGTGCAATTTCCATTTTCTTTTTTAAGTATTACATGCAATGAGTTTGAATCCCTGGATAACGGTATATAACAAGACAAATGCTATAGTCTAAATACAGGGGAAAGAGAAGATAGACCAGGGCAAGAGAAGGAAAGATTCCAGCTAGTACTTCTTCCCCCTAGTGGGCAGACACCTCTACTTGTTACACTTTTTATAGTTGCTGTCCAAATATTTGGTGGTCATGCAAAAGCAGGGAAAGCCCTTTCATTACAGAAAATATAAACAATAATATGAATTGGTTACAAGTGAACATTAACCATACAACACAAAGATAATTTAGATACAAATCACCAGTTGAGAACTTTTATATACAGAGACACTATCCGAGAATTCTCAATACATTCAACAGTCCCAAATCCAGAATTTTAAAATTCTATTAGATATGAGAGAATACCAGTCCTAAAACCATGAATTATATTCCTAAATTTTAACTTTCTCTTATTTTAGGCATGGTGACAGGGCATTAAAAACCATTTTCACACAGCTGTATGTAATTGTTCTTATAATAAGAAAAAACCGATCAATTCCTCAATCAATATCTAAACTTTTAAAAAAGGATTTATTTACACATACAGAACTGGGGTACAGATCAGAGGTGCGAGAAGACTCACCAGAAACAGAGTGAGGAGCCGAACAGGCAGATTGACTGAACTACACTGAGGGGAGCAGTAGGCGGGTCAGGGGAAGTCTGCCACGCCATATGGGCTACCCTCTTGGCTGGGGATCAAACTTGTGCTGCAGTGGCTGCGCTGCTTCACAGTGCTGTGCTTTAATCTGCTGTGCTCTCAGGGAGGGCCCACAAAATCTAAACTATATTTATAATCAAAATTGTAATAAAAGTAAAGAAGATGAATATAAGCAGATGGTAAAATCTCGTAACAATAATGATTAGATTGTAATGATGAGAGCAAATAAAAAGGAACCTGATCAAATTACAAATTTGTAGTAAAGGCCTAGACACTTTACATATTAACATAGTACTACTAAATAGTCCATACACATTATAATTTTATGAGTATTTAACATACCTTTAAAAAGAAAATGTATTTCATATGCATCCAAAATGCAGAAAACGCACATACATCTTCTAGGGAGTTAGGAACTGGTTTTAACTTTCATAGCCTCCATTTAAATTCAGGAACTGGTAAAATGGTGATTTCTCTATTCAAATTCTTTTGGGGGACAAAAAGGGAGAATGATGACTATATTTTTATTATATTTTACTTAGGGCAGTCCCTCTTCCTAAGTTGTGCTTTTTACTCAGTTTTTTTACTGTTCCTTTATAAAGTCTTATTTTATATATATTTTATTGAGGTAACACTGGCTCACAACAGTGTACAGTTTAGAAGGGTTTAGAAGGGTTTACTTTCTCACATAATTAAGTATACTACCTTTCTTTTGACACAATCACATTCTGTTGAGCACTTCTGCTTAATATATCATGTTTCTTGTCTTGTGTTTCCCCATCCTCAACAATGATCCTTAAGGGCAATGACCATATATATAATTCGTTGTATATTTCACAGCACCCAGTAGAGTGACTAGAAATTCTAATTGCAAAAACTACTTCAGTCTTCACAATTAGTTAAATCAAAGCAGTTCCTAAGATTTCTGAGCATGAAAATGAATTCAATTAACTTGATAAAAGGAAAAAACCTTCAGTCCATAAAAATGATATAATTTCGGCTCAGTTAGCGAACTTAAGGTACATATGGTTGAATGAAAATGGTTTTATAATGTCCCTTTTAATGCCTCAAATAAGACAAAGAGTTAAGAGCTCAAGAATGTAAAATATACAGTTTAGGGCTGGTATGCTCTCATGTATTCCAAACAGAATTTAAAATTTGGGATTTGGGACACAATAGAGACACCTAGGACCATGTCACTGAAAGTCCTCATACACAGGACTATATCAAAATTATCTTTAAAGTCTATGTTTTATGTATAGTTATGTTTTTTTTTTTATTTTTTTTTTTAAAGATTTATTTATTCATACAGAACTGGGGTACAGGCCAGAGGCTCAGGGGCGGTGAGAGGCTTCACCAGAGACAGAGTGGGGAGCAGAACAGGCAGACCGACGAAGTACACTGCTGAGGGAAGCAGCGGGCGGGTCAGGAGAGGTCTGGCTGGCCATGTGGTCTCCTCTGGGGCAGGCGGGAATCGAATCATGCGGAAGTGGCTTCAGATTCTCAGTGCTGTGCTTTAACCCGCTGCGCCACCAGGGAGGGCCGTGTATAGTTATGTTTTTAAGAAATTTTAGATAAGTGAAATTACTCTTCTAGAATTCTACATAGAATTTTAGATGTTAGTGTTAGAAAAGAATTGACAAACCATCTTTGGTTTAACCTTTTTATTGGTGAAAAAGAATAGGTCTATAGTTATCTCTATGACTGATTTCTCCAATTCTGGGCCAGTGTCCTTTCTATTAAACTTTACTCTCTCTACTGTGAAATTAGGTATAAAATAAATGTCAAATGTACAAATGTCATTTTACTAAAATAATTATAAGTTTATGAAATATTAATTGTGAAATGACATTTTAGTTAATACACATCCTTATATGTTTATATTCAGATTTCAGGAATAAGGAGAGAAAAGTCAGTGAAAATTGAAGTGCACATTACTAACTTTACAGTACTTGAATATATATATATTAAGGTACATATTTTAAAATAAGATATAAACAGTGGTCAAATAATTGTCCATGTCTCCAATGAAAAACTGTAATATATACAAAATATTACAAAATAGTCAGTTGGTTTATCAGTTTGTTGTCATGTTTCATTATTATATCACTAGTTTCCTTTTCTGCCAGCATGGTCAGTGTGGCACAAAGACCTTTAAAAAGAGTCTTTTAAAGGGTACATTACAAGAGCCCTAAAGTATAAGACAAAAGCTACAGACTATTGAAATATATTAACCAATAAAGATACTGGCATTTGCTTCAGTTTATTAGAGTAGAAGTAATTTTCCACTGCCTTGCTAAATGGCAGCAGTATTTTCTCTGAAAGGTATTGTTCCTACCTTATATAGGCGTGACCTAGAGATCTGCAAAAGTCCTCAATTGCCAATGCTTTTGTACCATTCATATTAGAAAGAAAGCCAGGGATGAAGATAATTCCTGGGCTTTTGCCTTTTAGCCTCTTATAAGCCAGGTTTGGAAGGTCTGGACGACTAAGGAAAGAGAGTGATGTCTTTTGTCTGCAAGCTAAACAAAACACATAAAACATAAACTATATTTTGCAAGTAGTTTTTGGAAAAACCACAGATATTTTCAGATATTAACTCACAGATATTAACTCACCAAACTGAAGTCAAATACTATTTCATTCTAATAAGGAAAACAAAAATAGACAAAGTATAAAGCCACAAGTCTGTATCTTTTAAAATCATGTCAAAATTAAGGTCCAATCTTGATTCTTCCAAAATGACATGAGGAGTAAATTTCAAGGAAAGGAAATGTGGTGAGTCATTAAAAATGTTTTCTTGTTGCTGTATTATCTGTCCTAAATGGTATCAGTCAACACTCTGATTTATCTACTTCAGTGCTCTCTAGTGAGACTTTGTCTTTTTTTAATATTTGAGGCATTTCACATCCTCTTTTTAGGTCTGAGAGACACAGAAACAAGTTTGTTCCGCCAGAGCTGCATCTATATAGCATTTTGTTGTTGTTGTTGTGTATAATTATATACGAATTAAAGCGATTACATGTTTAAAATTGAAAACTCAACATAAAGCTTATTTGCAAAGGCATTGATCCCAAATCCAGCAGCATGGCAAGGGTGTGAATACAAAAAACTAAAAGGTCTGAATTCAGAAAGACCACACATATGCAAGGCTACACACACACTTTATATAAAAAACCACACATATGCAAGACCACACACACACTTCATATATGAGGGGTCCAAACACACACACACACACACACACACACACACACACACTTTATATATGAGGGGTCCAAACGCTAGTTTCCTTTGCAGAGTAATGATTATGGCTTCACTGTAAGAGAGAATCGCAAAGACAAAACTAGAAACTATGCTAGATAAATTTCAGCACTTTCACAAAGAAAACGTTCACACTGTAAATTCTCTCAAGAGACAGCAAAGTACCTGAACAGAGTCACTATCTACAAAGCGTTTAGAATCGCAAAGAAAGAAAAAACAACTCATAATAAAACTCATTAAACGCGCATCTTAATTTTTTCTAGTGTTCGTCTTTAGTGCAGGGGAGACATGCAGAGGACAGGATGCTTGAACTACAGGGCGAACAACGCCAGCAAGGGGTGGGGGCGGAGTTCTCTCAGCCTTCACCGAAATAGCCACAAGCGCCGACAATGGGGGTACCGAAAACGGGTGACGAGACTTTTTGAATGGAGCGCCAAAAATCGTATTGAACAAGAAAAGACGGAACCCAGAAAGTTCGAAAGAGCGCGTTCTTTCCCCCTTTCGGACACTGACCTGGGAGCCAGTGTGGCGCCCGGGACGGTTTAGATGCAAGTAGTGCGCTGAGTCCTCGATGGAAGCCGAAAGAGACGGCCGCCCAGCCCCACCTCCGACAAGGTATCCAAGTAGCCGCAGACGCCATACCCGCACCCGCCATCTTCCCAGTTGCCTTAGCGCCGCGCTCTGACCTACGCAAACGCAGAGCGCACATCATCTGAGACTGCGCATGCGCTGCGGGCAGGTCGACCGGCGGGACTTGCTCAGAACTTCTTAAGTCGTTTAGACACCAGGGGGCACGCGTGTGCAGAACTTTCGGCTCTTGACTTGTCTCTTATTGGACAGTTGATTATTTTCAGTGACTGGTGTGGCCTTTTTAAGGTACTTTCTCAGTGGGCTGATTGCTGTCCACTGAGCTGGAAGCTGGAGAGAGACTGAATCCAACGGTTCAAGATAGGAAACCATCTCCATCGTCCCAAAGATACCAGGGATTGAAAGCATAAAATGCAGGCTTGCTGTTGGTCAAGTGGTTCTGACCCCCTGAGAGCTTTATTTTTATTTATTAAAGATTTATTTTATTTATTTATGCATACAAGAGCTGGACTGTAGGGCGGGGGAGAGGATTCACCAGAGACAGAGTGGGGAGCAGAATAGGCAGATCTACTCAAATACATTGCTGAGGGGAGCATGGGGAAGCCAGGAGATCTGCTGTGCCATGTGGGTCAGCAACAACCTGGCCTGGGATCAAACTCCTGCCGTAGTGGCTGTTGATAGTGTCATAGTGCTGACACTTAACCCCTTGCCTATGAGGAAGGTACCCCCTCCCTTGAAAATATTAATTTGTGCTAGGAATGCTTTTAAGAACTAACCTTAGTCTGATTTGTATAATTACTTGGAGTGGAACCGAGCATTTGCAGCTTCCCCTACCCCCTTTTTAAAAAAGATTTATTTATGCATATAGAACTGGGGTACAGGCCAGAGGTGTGAGGGTGAGGGGAGTAAGAGGATTCACCAGAGACAGAGTAGGGAGCAGAACAGGTAGATCCACCAAGTACACTGCTGAGGGGAGAAAAGGGCCAGTCAGGAGAGGTCTGCCACGCCATGTGGATCACCTCCCTGGCCAGGGATCAAACTTGTGCTATAGCTTCAAGTGCTGTGCTTTGAACAACCTGTTGTGCCAACAAGGAGGGCCCCACTTCACTATCTTGATCATAATAAATTTGGGAAGTGACTGGTGCTAGAGTAAAGGTGAACTCTGAATACAGTGAATCCAGTCATTCTTGGAGTCTTGAGAGCCAGTGTTATTGTAACATACTAAACCACTGAATGGAAAGAGAAAGCCAAGGATAACTGCTTGACTTCAGGGAACACTCCAAAAGATGCTGAGTCATCTTGCCAGTTCTATACCAGGCCTGCTGTAGACTACAGAGGGACTAAATTGCCAATACTGACATTTGCCTATTCCTTCCTTAGTGCCATATAACAGCAATAAACATTTCTTCCTCTGTGTTGGGTAATTGCACATAGTCTCAAAGACTTCTGTCCCTATTCTCTCTCTTTATTTCTGTAGGCATTGTATTCTGTTTGTAGCAAAATGAAAAAGTATGACATTCTCACAGTAGGGAAAGCACTTGACAAAAAATTACGAAGTTTCATGGACCATTTTATCTCTCCATGCTTATTGAGCTAACAAACTAGGAAAAATTGTGGCCAGTGTCAAGTGAAGATGTTTACCAGCAATGATGGGCATGCAGCAAATTTGTTTCCACTCTACTAATCATCAGTGTCGCTTTTATTTACAGGGGTGAAAAAGTGTATTGTTGAGAACAGTTTTTCTTTCTTTGAAATGTGCTGCCTTAATTCCAGGAGATATATGAAGGCAGCAACAAGCATAGTCCTGGGTCTCTGCAAAATAGAGCAAGATGTCAGATTTTTCAAGTTTTATCTCACTTTGTAAACAAACTAGAAATCGTAATGTTAGCACACAAAACGTTTATGTAGATTCTACAATTGACTTTTGCTTTCTAATTCATTTGCCATCATGCTACCAATAGGTAACTTCCTAATGAAGAGTTTATTTTCAAACGTGAAGTCTAGTCAGTATTTTCATCCAAACTCAACATACTTTAATACATATATTTAAAAGTTTACTACATCATGCAAGATATAAAGCCGATTAGAATGCCTTTACAATTCTATGAAGAAAGTACAGTGAAGTTTTATCTTTACATTAATCAACACAATTTTAACAATGGCATCTCATTCTCTTAGATCACTCTAGGGTTTAGCAGTGATCTTACAAAAACATATTATAAAATGTCATCTGTAATTTTATCCTTCATTGTTCAAGTAAAATTATGTGTCACCCAGTAGCAAAATCTTATTATTGGCAACATGAATACATGTATACAAACCACACTGCAAAAAATTTTTAAAAAAAATTGTACCCAGTCAGGCCTGACAAAGATTTTATATGTACTTATAATCTAATCATTTCACCTTGTATTAGTAAGTAACATCATTATTTTTGACTCCTATTTGTTTGCCAAGTTTTACTAAAGAACATACTTAAAAGACACATGTGACATGGCAGACTAAATGACAGCCGAAAGCCATTATAATAGAGACTTGCCTGCAGTCATTTCATTTTCACTCAACAAAAATTAACTTAAAAAACAAAGGCTAATGGTAAAGAACTACAAAATAAAGTAGTACATTATAGAGAACATTAAGTTGAAGTTTACTTGCCTTTTTATAGACTCATACCATGTCTGTAAATAACCATTTTGCCTGTTCTTTGGTGAAAACAGAGCTCTTATTTCATAGTTATATCAGGTTAAGTCTGTGCTCCACAAAAAAGAGAAATCAGACAATCTGAAAAAAATTAGCTACTGGTTGTCTTCATTCTTAGCACCGGGAATGGAGAACTCTGCTGCAAGCAATCTTCAGCTCCTAACACTTGATATTCTCTGTATTTTAAATTGCTCAGTTTGACAGATGCTGTCTTGAGACTGCTTCTTTCTAAAACACAGCTTTTTGTTTTTCCTTCTTTTTCAAAAAATGGCTTGCTGTGTACACAGAATAGCTTATACTGTTAGTGACACTTCAAAATCAACTTCCTGGGCACTTGATGACATAAAAAATCCATTTTAAAAATGTACAGATGAACTAATTGAAGTTCATCTCTTAAAACTACTACTATTAAACAGAAGTCATGTCAAGTCTTTGGTATTGGTGTAGTACTTAAAAATCAGGGCAAAACTCAATTATGTTCTCCTCCAAACCCTTATTATATTTATAAAATAACAATCAGCAAAATGCTCCTTTTTAAAAATGTCAGTTGGTTACCAATAATATCAATACCAATGTTTTGTGCGCTAAAATAATTTCATATTTCCAAGTACATACAGACATTTGGTAAACTGTTTATTTCACCAAAATCAATCATTGATAAAAAATAGTTTACAAGAAATATTCCTATAAGTGATACTATATATCAAAAGTGTTTCCTCACAGGTGTTTCAATTATTCTGGTATTTATGACCAAGCTTTGAATTCAAACACCGTCTTTGTCTTTTACCCATGACTTCACATGGATACACTCTTCAACTGAAAGGTATTCTGAGTACACAGTTAAAGGGGTGGGTCCATTGGGTCTTTTCATCCGGGGCTGACTATGGCTTTACTCTGGTAAGAGACTGTATTGCAATCTGCCCTCACATGGACTTTCGCCCCAGTCCACTACAACAAGAAGTGAGTGTAGCCTTCCGCCCCTGTAACTATCACATCCATCCAGATCCGCATGGCTTCTGGCGAGGGTGCCACCATGTAATAGATTCTGTCGTGTGTCTTGACGCTAAAGGTGAGCGATGGGTTAGGGCTCTAAAAGTCAAAAAAGGAAAGAAACATAAAACAAACGCCTTGAAACTGTAACACTAATACTACATATCTGAACGCTGCTTCTTCATTTAAAGTTCCAATTTATGTGAATCTGTGTTGGCATTGCTGTTGCTCTATTATAAAATGTGGCCCCACCTCCACCAGTTTCTGGCTTGACCATCTTTCTGGCTTCTCTGCACAGAAACCTCCTCACATAGAATTCAACAATCCTCTTCTCAGCACTACTTTGTAAAGCTCTTATAGGAATCTGACAGTGTGTGCTTAGTAAATAACAGCTGTTAATCTAAGCCTTGCTAAGTTCCTTTCGAACCCTTCTCAGAGATGGGTAGAAGTTCACTCATAGAAGCTTAGCACAGCTGCTTGGCAGGATGTATAGAGTCAGACTCCAGAGTATTTCCTCACCTCACCTTCACCAGGACATTTTTCCCCTCAAAAAGCTGACTGGCCCAATGATTTTCATGTATACTTTTCCAGCACCATGCTAATCATATCTATCTATTCAGTCAGAAAAACAACAAATCAAAACTTCTGAGGATTTTAAAAACATCTTTTCTTACAACTTAACAAATTGTAGAAATCTAAAAACCAATGTTTACCTTATTAGCATTCTTGAGGTGATCATAATATACTTCTTCAATGGCTTGAAAGTATATTACTCCTTTTAATTTAGTTTCATGCTTGTCTGCAAGAATAGATGAGTGTTAAGTACTTTATCACTTGATGGACAGGCAAAATTATGATGTTACTGTAGTTATCACTGAAATATTTATATACTATCTAAGATTAATTTAGATAATCTAGGTTAGTGCATCAGCCTGGTTCTGTACTGACTAAATGTGCAAATAAGAGTGAAATTATCATCCCAAACTTCAGTGACTTTGCCCAAGGTGCTGCAGCAACTCCACAGTCAAAAGATAATCTGGGACCACCATCAAATTAGCACACAAAATAGAAACACTGTTGACAGCGATGCAAATTACTTCCCTACATTCTCTAAGGCTGTCAATTATAATAGAAATATTAACAAGCGGATGTGTTGTAATGAAATTTGTAAGAAATGCAGCTTTTATAATTTAAATAATATTCTACTCATATTTCTTTCATATCGAAGTCCTTGCCTAGCTCACTGTTCTCCCTGTTCCCAGTAGATACATGTCAGCGATATCCCTCCAATGCACCATTTTCCAAACTGTTTTCAACAAACCAAACAAGAAATAAGACAAACAACCCACCAAACACATAGTATCACTCGGTGATCTG